TTAGCCCAGTGAAGGGCTTCATGATTATCAGCTTGGCCTCAGCCTTGACCTTCAACTCAGCCCAGTGAAGGGCTTCATGATTATTAGCTCAACATCAGCTTTGAGCTTCAACTCAGCCCAACTAAGGGTTTCAAATTTATTACCTCAGTCTCAGCCTTGAGCTCAGCCTAACAAAGGGCTTTAAGTTTAATAGCTCAGCCTTGGCCTTGAGCATCAACTCAGCCCAACTAAGGGTTTCAAATTTATTCGTCTCAGCCTCGGTCTTTAGCTCAGCCCAATAAAGGGCTTTAAGTTTAATAGCTCATCCTTGGCCTTGAGCTCCAACTCAGCCTAGTGAAGGGCTTCAAGATTAAAGCTCGGCCTCATCCTTGAGCTTCAACTCAGCCCAGTGAAAGGCTTCATTATCATCAACTTAGCCCAGTATAGGGCTTCAAGTTTAAAAGCTCGACCTCATCCTTGAGCTCCAACTCAGCCCAGTGAACTCAGCCCAGTGAAAGGCTTCATGATTATCAACTCAGCCCAGTGAAGGGTTTAAAGTTTAAAAGCTCGGCCTCGGCCTTGAGCATCATCTCAGCCCATCGAAGGGCTTAAAGTTTAAAAGCTCGGCCTTAGCCTAGAGCATTAACTCAGCCCAACTAATGACTTTAAGTTTAATAGCTCAGCCTCGGCCTTGAGCTCCAACTCAGCCCAGCCAAGGGCTTCAAGATTAAAGCTTGACCCTGGCATTGAGCTTCAACTGAGCCTTAGCCATAGCTTCAGGCTCCGAGATCAAAACGAAGACAGAAAAGGAGAGATTTGATCCTAGCAAAAGGATCACACCCCGATCCGAAAAAAAGAGATGAAATTGGAGAGATGTGATCCTAGCAAAAGAATTACACTCCAATCCGCGATAAAAATGAAGACGGACTTGGAGAGATTTGATCCTAGCAAAAGGATCACACTTCGATCTGAGATAATGATGAAGATGGAATTGGAAAGATGTGATTCTAGCAAAAGGATCACACCCGAATCCGAGAAGACGAATTTGGAGAGATCGTGATCTTGGAAAAAGATCACACCCCAATTCGAGATAAAAGAAGAATCGAGGCGGCATATGATGTCGGGCTAATATTCAAGAATTTGGCAACAAAGTGGTGGAAGTCGCAGTAAGAAAAGTCGTGCTCCTTAAAGTACAATACACCATTGCAAAAGGTCAAATACATGCTAATAGAGATCTCGGTATGAAAAATGAGCCAATCTGAAACCACGACACTTAAAGACAGGGAGTGCAAAGTTGGGTTAATTATTAAGGAGGCACGAAATGTCGTCCTAAAACTTATAAAAGAATGACAATAAGCCTAGTCAAAACTAAAGAACCTCGGCAAGAGAAGCCGAGCTCAAAGTCAAAAAGAGGCAAATAGTGCCTCACCACCTTTAACTTTCAATGTCAACATTAGAAGGGAATTATGTGAGCATAAAATAGTCTTTTTCTTTTTGGTAAATAAAATTCAATTTTGTAAATTATAAAATTGAATTCAACGAGTGGACGTTGTTTTCATATTATCCCCAAAAAAAAATTCTTGAAAAATAACTGAGCTTCGAATCGCAATCACAAAATAAAGCTAAAACCATGTTTTTTAGAAGGGAAAAATGTTTATCATTTTAAATGACGCAACTTATATCCTTTCACTCTCACAAAGAGATGAGACCCACACCTTTATTTTTTTTGTCAACTCTCTCTCATCCTTTATCTATCTATTTCTCTCTCTTAAAATGACACAACTTTACATCTTTTAAAATGATACACACTTTTCCCTTTCTAGAATGTAAGAACACACCACAAAATTTTATTAATATCTTCCACTTCAAAGTACAAAGAGAATGAAAAGTGAAACCACATTCAAGAAACAAAACAAATTACCAGAATAAAAGCTACATAACATTTCTTAGACCAATAATGTCACAATAATATGTCAAGGTTTAGAACCAAAAGAGTATAGTATTGGTTCAAGATGAAGTGGTATTTTCTTGGAGACAGTGAGTCCATTCACCTCACTCATGTCTAAGTCCTGCATCAATACACCAGTTTTAGGTAGCTTCCAATCGAACCAATATAGAAGATTAGCAAGTATATTCTCTGTAGAAGCAAGCCCAAACGAAATTCCAGGACATCCCCTTCTCCCAATTCCAAATGGGATTAATTGAAAATCTTGTCCTTTAACATCAACTTGGTTACCTTCAAATCTCTTGGGAAGAAACTCTTCAGGATTGTCCCATAATTCAGGGTCTCTCTGTATTGCCCATGCATTCATAAATACCCTTGTTTTGGGGGGAATATCATACCCTTTTAGTTTCACACTTGATATTGTCTCTCGAGGAATCAAAAGGGGAACGGGTGGATGTAATCTCAAAGTTTCCTTGATTACACATTTCAAGTAGTTCATTTGATTCACATCATTTTCATCCACTTTTGATTTTTTCCCCACAACTCTTCTTACCTCTTGTTGGACTTTCTTCATGGTATTTGGATTCTTAACGAGCTCAGCAAAAGCCCATTCCAGATTGGTTGAAGTAGTGTCACTTCCACCGACGTACATGTCCTGAAATTATAGAAAAGTTAGCTATTCACACACCATATTTTTCATGGACCATTTTTATAATGGTGGCACTCAACGTGCAAACAACTTGTGATCACCATGTACAATTGCGGCGACATGTTAGTAGATATGCTATTGAAAAATAGTAGGTGATAGATAGATAGATAACCATTAGGATTGCTTTGAGGTTATCTTGTGTAAGCTCAAAGTCAAGCTTCCCACCCTCTTGAAGTTGAAGGAGGATCCCTGCAAAGTCTTTAATATCGTTTTTGTCATCGTTTTTGTTGCTTCTCTTGTGTTGTGCAATTACCTCATCAAAGAAAGCATCTAATGCAGCAGAAGTGGACTTAATTTCTGAAATTAAGCCCGTAAGAACATCAATCCAACCCAATGAAGGGAAGAAATCGCCAACGCTGAAAGCTGCCAATAATTTCATATTTTTCCTTGCTAGCACTCCAATGCTTGTAGTACCATCTGGAGTATCATATTTTTGTCCAAGAACACATCTAGATACTATATTGTTTGAGGCTGCAAACAACATCTCCCTTAGATTCACAGAGGATCTTTTACTCGCACATGCATCACGTATAGTATCAACCAACTCTGTAATTTCTTCTTGTCTGATGGAATGAAAAGATCCCATCCTTTTCTGGCTCAAAAGATCAAGAACACAGATCTTCTTTTTTTGTCTCCACTCCTCGCCGTAGGGTGCAAAACCAATATCCTGGTATCCATAGAGAAAGATTTTAGCAGCTGTAGACTCAGGCCTATTGGAGAAAGCAACATCATGTGTTTTTGTTATTTCTCTGGCCATATCCGCCGACGAAACCACAAGAGTTTTTGTTTGTCCAAGCTGCAACAACATGAGAGGGCCATACTTTTTAGAGAGTGTTTGCAAGGAGCGGTGTGGGAGTGTGCCTAGTTGATGAAGATTTCCAATAATTGGTAGCTTTGGTGGGGATGGAGGCAGATTGTAATTGTTTTTTCTTTTGAGCTTAAGCATGAACATAATAACACTTATGAAGCACAAAATAGAAAAGAAAAGGATTGATTTTGGCTCAGACGGCAATTGCATTAGAACTGATGATACAAGAGCCATTGTTCCTTTGGGTTGGTATTCTTCACAGCAAGGATATACAAAAGAAAAGAATTTGAACTTCATAAAATTGAGAATTCAAAATGAAAATGAAAATATCAACAATATTATGTCAAGTTTGCCAACGTCAATAACCTCGCATCGTGTGGTGACCTCGCATGCAATTAATAAAAATATCAACAATCTTTTGTCAAGTTTGCCAACGTCAACAGCAGGCATAACTATGTACTCCCATATCAACGTCAATGAAGGTGGGACGTATACAATAACTATAAAGATATTTTCAATATTATGAAAATATTAAAGATATTTCCATCAATAGCAGTATGTGGAAAATACTTTTGATATTATTAATGTACTGATTATTCTGTACATCTTTTAGAAAAAAAATAATATTTTTTTTATCCTTATTTTTATGATTATTTTCTTTCTTATTTTTCTATTTTTAATAAAAAAATAACTACTTCGTTGCATAAAAAGTTTACTCGACCTCGCATGCAATAAACAATCGTAATGTCTCCCGTAAACAATTTTTTTGCACTAACATAGTAAATCTTGCCTAATTTTTTATTTTTTTGGAAAATGATGGGTCCATCTTTTTTTGGTAGCACCTAAAGCTTAACAATTCTTCTACGAAAGGAGAAAAGCAAACTTCAATATTATTATTATTAGGGATAGGATATTGTGACACACAAATAATGTTACGCACAATGTTACGATCACATCTTAACCGTTGATTTTGCCAATCAACAGTTATCATTTATTGCGAATTAATAATTAATTAATGAGTTTGATTTGAAAAATGATAATTGTTGATTGGCAAAATCAACGGTTAAGATGTGGTCGTAACATTGTGCGTAACATTATTTGTGTTTCACAATATCCTATCCCTTATTATTATTTTGAAAAGCCTTTATTATTATTAATCCTCTTTTGACCCTAGGTACTACGTACGAATTGGTGTCATCTTTATTCTTCACAGCATTAGACTAAGTTTTTTGGTGGAAAAATAAAAGAGAGGGCGGGGGAAGGAATGAAACTGTCCCAAAATCATTTTCACAAGGATCATTTTTCTTTGCTTAAAACATGTTATCCTCGGATTCCATCTTTAAAAAAAACTCAGAATTCTCCTTTTTTACGATTTTACTATACAAATAAAATTGTTGATTTTAATGGAATCCTATCATTGCATCAATCGCAATTAGTTTTTTTTTTTTTTTTTTTTATAACAATCGCAATTAGTTTTTGGGTTAGGTGCCTTGCCACCTCCCCTTCTCAACGTTGCAATTATTGACCTTTATTTAACCATGATGGGAGAGATTGTTGATGGAACGTCCATTACCGTCAGTGTTTTAAAATCTCACCTCGTCTTTCGGGTTGACCCGGGTCAACTTTGACATTTCTCTTCTAAGAGTTGGGGTCACAAATTAGACTCTATATGCATATCGACCCCTTCGATCCCCAAAATTTGGTCGGTTTTCAGTGACTCCCGGTCAGGGTAAGAAGGGTCAACGAGGGTTACTGCATGATTTTTTTAACAAAGAAAGTCCATGAAACAACATTGTTTTATTAAAAAAAAATAAAATAAAAATGCTTCAAAACCTAAATTTAATCGTTCTCTTCTCTTTCAGCGACCTAGATGTCTTCAATCTTTACCTCGCTACCGTGAATCTTCTAGAAAATGTTAGAATTTTACCTATTCAAATAAAATCCTTGCGGTTGTCGATGGAAAATAAAAATTCATTCTTACTTCCTTTAAATTTCTCTTTGTTAGGGACCTTCTCAAAAGAGGCGTAGTGACCCCATTATGAGTTTTGTACTTTGGTATCTTGATATTTAATTAGGTTGTGTAATATTGACTTGTGGTTGTAATTGATGAATTATGTTAAGTATATTTTGAATCTTTGATGATTGGTGGTTTATTTTTTAATATTTAATTTCATATAGGATATATATATTTATACTTTTTTAATTTATAAAATCGGGTCAGTGTAGTGACTCTGTGACCCTCCGGTTGAACCCGTGATCCCGTGAGCCTTGACCTCGGCTGAATCGATGGTCGGGCCGAGTTTTTAAACACTGATTCTAAGGGAGACTTACAACATTACTCTTTTTATAAAAAAAGATATATCATTTTTTTAATATAAATTTTGAATCAAATATTTTACACCAAGTAATAAAAATTATAAACGCATAAAATTTATAATTTTTATTACTCAATCAGTAACTTTTATCATTCAATTTATAACTTTTATCTCTCAAATTTATAATTTCAAAAAGATAATACGAGATCGATCCCAATCACACTAATTTTTTGGGTTAAAGTAATATCATCCATTATTTAAACATGCAAGATTGGACTTATCGCGTGTATCAGTTAAATTTGAGTTATCACGTGTATCAGTTAAATTTGAGTTATCACGTTAGTTGATTTTCTTATAATTAAGAAAAATTCTAAGATTCTGATGGTAATATTGTAATACCCCACACATTGTGTAAGGATGGAAAAAAATTAAAATATTATACTTTTAATAATTAATTACGAATTGGTAGCAGTTTGAAAATTATTTTCAAATTTACTGCCGTCATTCACGCTCAATTAAGCGTGACTATTCACGCCCAAATTAGTCGTGACTCCCAAGGCTTTCACGCTTAATTTAGACGTGAATCATCTGGCGTTGACATGTGGCAAAAAAAGTCAACTTATGAACTGTAAAACTTTGGAAAGCCATAACTTTTGACTCGGGTATCCGAATGAGGTAATTCTTTTTTTGATTCCACATAACTTTTCGAGATTTACGCAATGACATCTCATTTGATATATTTTATCTCTCACAAACACAATTCAAATTTGCAATAATTGTATTATATAGTGTATTACCAAAAATAAAAATTATTATTAATAAGAAAAACAAAATAAAGATTTAATTTGTGATTTAAATTCAAAAATCAATTTGAAAAATCTGTATTAATAAAGAAAATAATTAAATAAATATTCTAAACACTTGGTGGAATATTATATAAATTTGTATATATTTTATATAAATTTGTATGTATTTTAATAATTAAATAACCTTGTACACTATTTTTTTTCAAACACTTGGTAGAGGCAAAAAAATTAAAATATTTCTTTTTTAATAAATAATTACGAATAAGTTACCGTTTTGAACCTAATTACGAATATATTGCACTCATTCACGCCCAATAATGGTACTATAATATTAAATTCAAAATTTAAAATTCAAATATTCTCCAATAAGTTGATTGCATTTATGTATTTAATAGGAGTTCATTGTGTTTTGTATTTAATAGGAGCTGATTGCGTTGTAATTTTATGAGTTGGTTATAGATTGTCGCCAATTCAAATAAATTTGCTGGGGGTTATTTGAATTTTGAATTTAATGTTAAAGGAGTTGATTGTGTTTTGTATTTAATAGGAGCTGATTGCGTTTTGTATTTAATAGAAAATTTGGTGCCATCTTATTTATAGATGAGTTAATCCACTTTGGTGCCATCTTTATAGTATCATTGTTCTAAATTTGAATTGTGTTTGTGAGAGATAAAATATATCAAATGAGATGTCATTGTGTAGATCTCGAAAAGTTTTGTGGAATCAAAAAAAGAATTACCTCATTCGGATATCTGAGTCAAAAGTTATGGCCTTATAAAGTTTTACGATTAAACTATTAATTTTTTGTGTCAAGTGTCAACATCAGACGAGTCACGCCTAATTTAGGCGTGAATGCCTTGGGAGTCACGCCTAATTTGGGCGTGAATAGTCACGTTTAATTTGGGCGTGAATGACTGCAATAAATTCAAAAATAATTTCCAAACTGCTATCAATTCGTAATTAATTATTAAAAGGGTAATATTTTAATTTTTTTTGCCCCATAATGGGACCTAGTTGCCTTTTATGAGTTTCCTATTAAATAATACCGAAAATCGTATGATTCCAATATCAATAGTCATTACGCATATCATAATAATCATGCTAATATTGGGAAAAACTATTCTTATGTCACATGACATAAATTTTTTCTTCTACACACCCTTTGATAACTGTATCACATTTTTTTTTTTTTCAAGTGATGGAGTCTACTAATTTGTCTCTATGACATGAGATAACTATCTCCTCTAACATGAGATTAATAAAACATATTAATAAAGTAAAATCAAAAGTTGGATATTTTGTTGAAACAAATCAGATGAGAAAAGCGGTGGCTTCAATGTATGATAAAACAAAACCAATACCTTATAAATCTTATCTTCGACGTTATCAATATCAAGATGAATATACACCACTTATGCTTCTTTTACTCAAAAGTGGTTGTAAAATAATTTTGATTATTTTAGTTCTCGTTAACAGAAGTTAATTTTGTAACTATACTAGCAAAATTTATTATTAAGATAGGGGTGAGTTGCAAATGTAACTGGTCAATTAATAAATAATAAGATTTATTTCAAACGGGATTATGATAACATATAAAATCAATATATTTATCCACTAGGGTTAGCCTAGTGGTGTGAGGTGTGTGTTAAGTTGTGTAGTGTAGTGGTATGTGTTTAATTTTCATGTAATGCAAAAAAAATTAAAATCAATATATTTATTTTTGGGGACGGATCCGTTTATAAACTTTTATTGAAAAATTCTACAAATTACACTATGTTCTCTCGGAAGAACATAGTGTAATCAGTGTTCTCTCGGAAATACATAGTGTAATTTATAAGAGTTGGTAAAAAAAAAATTTATTAATATAACTTGCTTCTTTATTTTTATGACACATCAAAGTTACGATCATTAATTGACATGACATGTCAAATCAACCGCTTCTAAGCACTTTAGTGACAATTACCAACTATACTAAAAGATAATTAGAAGTTATTACTTTTGGCCTCAAGTAAATACATGAATTTATGCCACTAAAAATAATCTCGCGGCTGAAAATATATTTATATCTCGTTATTCATTGTAAAATATAAGCAACGGGACAGGGGACAACTAATCTGGACCATTATTAGGAATACAGATGTCAAAAAGGCTC